AGAGAGAGAGAGAGAGAGAGAGAGAGAGAGAGAGAGAGAAAGAAAGAAAGAAAGAAAGAAAGAAAGAAAGAAAGAAAGAAAGAAAGAAAGAAAGAAAGGAGAGAAAAATAGTAACTTCAGGGTAGTTTATATTTTTATACGCTGTCTTTATGTGAAGTAGATAAACAACAATGCATTGAGGGCTAGAGAGATGGCTCAGTAAATAAACTGCTGGCCCCATAAACTTAAGCACCTGACTTCATATTCTTCGCACCCACATAAAAATTAGGCCATAGGCAAGCATATGCCTGCAGTCTCAGTACTGAGGAGGCAGAGACATGAGTATCTCTGGGGCTCCAAAAATAAGGTGGAGAAAGATGAAGGAGATAACAGACATCCCCAGCAGGCTTCCATGCACATGTGAACAGCACACACAGAAACCATTCTTCAGAACTCTGTAGTTACCCTTTACACACAAGGGTAAAGCATTGCTATTCAAGAGGCTGGAGAGTTGGCTCAGCACTTAAGAGCTCTTATGGAGGACTTAAGTTCCCAGAACGCATGCTGGCCAGCTCACAACTGCTTTTGACTCCAAGGGACCCAGCGGTCTCTGGCCTCCATGGGCACATGCACATGTACATGCATATAATTAAAAATAATGAAAATCATAAAGAATTGTTATTCTAGAAAAACGATCCCATTAAAGATTGACTGTCGCATACTAATCTTGTAAAGTTCACCCAGCCAAACTTAACTATTGCTCGGGCCACACTGCTGCTACTTCCGGCATGTCATTTGTGCCCTCCACATCTCCTTTCTGAAAGACAGTACGGAGGCTGCCTCAAGTGTCTCTGCTGCAGAGCAAGCTGACATCACGCACGAGCTCCTGATTCTTCAGCCTGTACTTCAGGCTCCCAGAGGCAAGCTAAGAACCTGCACTGCGGTCCTGTATCTGGGAAGCACCAGAGAGGCTGATGAAGTGAGGCCGCCGGTCTGTAACAAGCTTGCACGCACACAAAGTCCAAAAAACCTGGCCTACTTTTTATTTTCCCACCCCCCAAAAAAGTCTAACCAAACTCATCCAACTGTTGCACAGTGTCAAGACAACTGTCGGTTACAGTGAATTAAAACCTTGGTGGCTAAAATCACCAGGAAATCCCCTAACTTTGTGTGACTTGCTTTTTCTAAAGCAAGTGGGTGGTCTTTATGGTAAATCAGGCATTAAGAGCTCGTAATCATGGGCTCACTCTTAACAATGCCCCCCAAAACAGTGGAGCAGTGTCAGGAAAGAGTAACAGCTGGGCCTGCATCTGTATTTGTTCCAGTGGGGCATTTTTATTAAAGCGCATGTGTCTACACTCAGTGTTCCATCCTGTTAATGACCAAACCGGCTTTCATAAGACAGGGCACGTCCTCATCCACACTGAACGCAAGCCCTGAGGAGGCTGCGACTCTGATTTATGGATTACTGTACACCCTGCTCTTGTGGACCTAACACATAGTAGACACCGAGCTAAGCAGAGCCAAGAGACTTTTGATAGTCAAGGAAGCTGCTGGGATTTCTCTTGTTTCCCCTGGAGTATGAGGCACTCTGATTTGGCTGACTGGGGAGCTGGCAACTGTCTGATACACATGCCATCTTAACTGCTTTACAGTTCTTTAAAGTAGGAAGCTCTTTGCTTAAGATGAACACTGCCAGTGCACACACAGCTTTAACTACTTAACTATTCTCTTTTAGAGAGAAAAAAAATCTTAATGCCAGCACAGAATAATAGAGTAAATATAGTTCCCTTTGAAAAAGAGCTACTCCCATTCTGTTCATTTCCTGTTGGATGGTATACTTAAAAACCCACCATCTCTGGACCTTCACCTCCACACCATACGGTTACTATCGCCTAGGATTTCGTTCTGACAGGGCGGAATCTAGATGCCTAAACACGCATGGGAAGCACGTTATCCCCACATAGAGCACTGGCCACTGAGCCTATGTGAAGTGTCTTGCTGCTTAGCTACTTAACCGGAGATGCACTTTAGAGTGAGCCCCGCCTGGCTGCCTTCTTTCTGTGGGAGAATTTTATGCCAATAAAAGAAAATAGTTTGCATTTCTGACAAGCCAAGTAAACCCAGAGTTAGTTTTTCTAAAGCCTCTGCTGGCGATGTAGCCTCACTGTGAGTATGGGCAGAGGTCCAGCCCCTCGGGTTCTCTCAGGCTCACCCTGGCCCTGTGAGAACATATAAAACTAAGTCTTACAACCTGGAAGGGCACTGGGCTGAGCAGAGTGGATTTTGCCTGTCTCTGCTGAGCTCTTCCTTTGTCCTTTGTCATCAGCTGGGTCATGTTCCACCGCCACCGCCTCTTCCAGCCGTGCCCACAACCTCACTCACACAGGGACCTGGGAGGGGCTGGTTTTAGTATCGGAATTGAAGTAGCCAATTCTGAATTGCCTCCAAAGGTGAGTAACTTAAGGGAATGGCAGATGTGGTAAGTCCCTTCTCTCAGGAGGGCGTGTCTTTTATCTGCCTCTTTTGCTGGGATGCCATAATCTCAACTCTGGCTCCCATCTGCCCCATGGTAGTCCAGTTGTGGAGTTAAAAGGACCATTTGTCATGATTATTACAAAGTTGTCCTGACCCATTGTATCAAAATGTTTACCTTCTGTGATTATTATGTAGAACTTCCAAAAATCATCACCTTGTATCAGTTGGACAAGTAGTATAGTTTAGTTACATTTTGGGGAATTTTGACCTCTGCCCATCCATCTTCCATCGTCCTGAGCTGGCATTGAACGGGATTCCTTATTCATGAAAGCCTGGGGTGGAAGAGTTAGAATCAGAAGGTAAACAAGAAGGTGCATGATATTTTCATCAGACACCTAACAGTTTTATTATTAGCTCTTCCTATCCTATATCAGTCCATTTTCATTACCATAACAAAATACCTGATGCGGAGTGGCTTTATAAACAAGGGGGTTATTTAGGTCAGAGTTCAGGAAGTTGAAGAGCCTGGTGTCATCCACAGCTCAAGTCCAGTGAGGATCACGTGGCAGTCAGGGAAAGGTACTACAAGGCAAAGCCAGTGATCTCTTTGGGGGTGGGGCTCACTCTTGGGAAACCTTGAGAACTCATGGGAACCACGTTAGCTGCCTCTGAGGGTGTGGCCCCAGTGACGTGAGAGCTTCCTGCCAGGCCCTGCCTTGTAATGCTGCAGACTAAACTTGAACCAGAGGAAGATGAACTACGTCCACACCGTAGTGCACCCTCTTAGAGGAGCTTTACTTACTTCTGGGGCAGCCAAGGGACACACTGGGAGTGCCAGACACTAGGGAGGGATGACAGCTGGGATTGTGTTGTTGTGTTGTAGGTGGTAAGACACTCTTGCCTCTACCCTGTCATTAGTGGGTGGGTAATAGTGATATAAAATCAGAGATGAATTAGGATAATAAGAGGCGAAGGAGAAAGGAGTCAACTCTCCACCAGTGATGTTTTTCTCTTTGTGGTTATTTAACTTTGAAAAGGAACTTGAAAGGAATAATCGTGGTTCTTCAGCAGACAAAGGACTGAGTGTGGGAGCCAGGCAGGAAGGTGTGAGAGCCTTTATTGCAGGAACTAGAGGCGTACAGGAAAACACAGGACTCCAGGAACATGCTGGTGTGTCTGTCACAGAAAAGCCAAGGGAAGGGAAAGCCAAGGATGGCCTCTGTGCCACCTGCATCTCATTTTCAATGTCTGTCATTTTTTTTTTTTTTGAACGTTCATTTCTTGGGTTTCTGTGGATCGTGGTGAATGAATGGTAAAACAACTGAGTGGGAGGGTATGGGACATGGAAGAACCTTTAAATAATGGCAGGTGTTTGTAACTTAAAACTTTCATTCATGTGTATGTACACATACGTGTGCTCACATGCCTGTGTGTGTCCTCACGGGCTAGAAAAGGCCATTGGCTCCCCTGTAGTTGGAGTTAAATACAGGTGATTTTAAGCCACCTGGTACGTGCTGCTGAGAACCAAACTTGGATTCTCTGCAAGAGCAGCAGGTGTCTTAACTACCAAACTGTCTCGGCAGCCCCACAGCTCTCGTTAGTACAAACGGGCCCTGTCCGTATTTATCTATTGATGGAACCAGCATGTAATAAATGCCTACAGAGTGACCATACTGTAGGCACTGGGGACATGGTGATAACTTAACAGACGGGGAGAAAAGACAGACAGACCCCACTCTCACGGACAGCTATACAAGCTGTAAACAGAAGCAGGGTGTGTGATGGACATGAGTTACTCTCTGCCAGGAGCAGAGCGCGGTCTGGGAAGCTAGAGGAGTGTTCCGGGTCCCTCTTGGGGATTCTCTGCTCACTGTCCAGTGGTGGAACTGTAGAGGGTCCAGGGTGGAGAGAGTCACGGTGCTGCAGTGTCTAGAGGTGGCTTCTCCATGGCTCTCCAGTTCAGAGACATCAGCCGGCACTGCTGGAGTCCCAGGGCCTGAGCTCCTGCCTTCCAAGCGTTCCTCCTCCTCGGCACTACCAGTGCCCTGGGAAGAAGCCCCTCCCATGTTGTTGGACACAGCTATGGTTGTGCGCTCATGTGGTCTTCCTGTGTCCACAGCTCCTACAGAACCGTTACTGTGCAAGTTTGCCGATGGAGGACAGAAGAAGAGGCAGAACCCAAACAAGTACATCCCTAATGGGCGGCCGTGGCACAGAGAAGGAGAGGTGAGACTTGTAAGTCCTTTCTTGGAACTTCAGTGTGGGTGTGCCCTCGTGAACACTTAGGGGACGCCTGAGTGTGCATTCCCCAGGAGGACAGGCAGACGATGGGAACAGCCACACTGCGCTGTAGTGAAAGGATGACTATGAAGGTGTTTGAGTGTGGAGGGCTCTGATTTTTCAATACGTTTACATTAATCATATTCAGGAATCTGTCCTTAACACTAAAATAAACAGTATATGTGTCACTGAGAATTTGCCTTTATATTCTGGATTATTTTTTTCTTATTAAAAAAATGTTGTGCCATACAATATATTCTGATCATGCTTTTCCCTCCCCACCTCCACACTGTCTGTCTGTCTGTCTCTCTCTCTCTCTCTCTCTCAGAAGTAAACAGGCAAATAATCTTTTGAAGCTTTAAAAAAAAATTCAGTGTTTTAATGCAACATTGGGCTTTCTCTTGTATTTATTTCAATGGATTTTAGTGTTTAAAAAGATCATAAAGAACCCAGAATGTGTGGAGAAAATGTCTTAAACCTGTGGTCTCCAGTGACAGCCACACGTAGCCCTCTGAGCATGTGATGCCTGGCTATTTTCCCGGAGGGATTGGTTTCTACTTAATTTTCAGTAGCTCCCTGTGGTAATGGCTGCTGTGGGGGGTACACAGTGGAGCTCAGTTCTCATAGACTTTGTCCCCATGCTTGGCTAACAGAAACTTCCAATTTTATCAAAGGTGACTATTATCACCTTATGCCACGGGGACTCTACAAAATACAGTTTTCCAGTAGTGCCTTTCTAGACGGATTTTCACGTCTCCTTCTGCTTCCTGTAGGCTGGAATGACACTCACGTATGACCCGACCACAGCTGCTCTACATAACGGGTACGTCATTAGGATAAATGCCTCGTAGCTTGAGGGACAGTGAAAGTGGAGAGTGTCAGACGTTGTGCCGTGAATGATTCCATTGGAAGGATGACTTAATAAAGGCTTTTGTGTTTGTTCTAGATTTTACCCTTCACCATACAGTATTGCCACAAACCGAATGATCAGTCAAACTTCTCTTACACCCTATATTGCGTCTCCCGTGTCCGCCTACCAGGTTTGTACCTCAGGACCCGACAGCAGGGCACCGTGCATCTCTGCTGCATTTTTATGTGTCTTCACCTTCTGGACAGTTTCAAAAATGAAATCTAAGTCAAATTTGATGCAGCTTGGAGACCTAGTTTGGAAGAAGCTGCCTTTTATTTGGCGTAACGATTTGCTCCTCTGTGTAGGAGGATGTAAAGCCAGGGAAGTGGTTGGAGTCATCACATGGTCCTTGAATTGGGATAAGCCCCCGTGTGCTTCCTCTATCACGTATCCCAGAAATTGAAACGTGTGAGTGTCACAAAATGGAGCGCAGGTGTGGGCTCCCATTTGTTTACTCATGAGCAAAAAGAGATAAAAAAAGACAGTTGGAACTGCTCATACAGAGATTGTCTCCAATGGGTGACATTAACTGATGCCATTGAGAGTTGAGGCCCTTCCCCCACCAAGACGCAAGAGGCCATTAGCTCCTGTTGCATTATTTTGTGAGGAGACTTACCTTTGACTCGAGGGAGGAATCCTCATTAAGCTCCTTGTCCAACACTGATCTGATGGTATAACAGGGCTCGTGAGGCACAGGAGTCTTTCTCTTCCCGCGGCCATCTTCCCCTCAAAAGGTGTGCTGCCTGGGCCCAGACAGTGTTGTTACTGAGTTCAACTCCTGACCTGTGAGGAGTTCTCTACTGTTGACTGCTGGGACTCGTGTGACTAAACTTGGGAGTGTTCCTGTTTTTGAAATTGAATTAGATGTTGTAGTCCTGACGTCTGAGGTTAGGGGACTACAGCATCTGATCTAACAACTGTGCTGTTTGGTAGCCATAAGCCTCAGTCTCCTCGTCTTTAAAATGGGGATAATAATAGCTTCTACCTTATAAACTTGAGAGAGTTCTGAGCACCAAATGAAAATGTGAAGAGCTCCACGCTGTCCTGGTATGTCATTAATACTCAGTAAATATGAGCTGGCAGCAGCAGCACTGTATATGAATTGCACGTTTTCAGTAATGGTCAGTCTAAGGCAATATCAAAGTTAGCTGTTAAAATAACGCTGAAAACTAGAAGGTTGCATACCGAAAGCAGTCTCACAGCAGTGTCTGCCACCTTCAGCCTGTAGGTTCGGGCCCCGCCCCTCCCCCCATTCTGCACACCTTTCCTTTCCTTTCTCCTCCCTGGGTTGTTAACTCTGATGTGTCAGGCTTCTGGACATAGTATTCACTTGTTTAAGTCTCTTCAGAGGTTGAAGAGTTAAGACCCCAGTCTTTTTCTTGCTTCTCAGGGAGAGGGAGTGGATATAGTATATCTCCCTTCATAAGCAGGGTTTACAGCTGATATTAAAATGTCATCTTTGATGATCTGAAAAATGGCGCTCTGTCATGTCTGTGTCGCTAAAAATCAGCACAAGTTTGAACTCACTCTTAAGTACACAAAAGACTGTTCATTATCATGTTGCTATAGACATTTCAGCTCTTAATCCATCTCTCTACCACTGCTTTTCCCCTTTGAAGCAGTTAGCCTTTCAGTCATTTTATAGAATAAAAAGTCAGGAGATCAATGTTGGGAACCAACTGGACATGGCAAGCTACAGACAACCTGTCATTTCCAGGCCTCATTCCCTCCTTGGGGAATGCTGTGTTTTTGTAAGACCCATGTGGAATTTATTCCACTTGCCTGACGCTCAGTGGCACAGCCTCTCAGATGGTGCCCATCCTTATATGGTCGGTGCCAAGCAGAGGTGAGTGGATGTGCCCCCAGGTAATCCAAGGTCCCCTTTAAGGTGTTTGAAAAATGTTGTTTATGTACAATTAGTTTGGGGTGGGGGTTCTTTTTATTTCAGGTGTTCAAAGAACCAATGGTAAAACGTTCACGGATTGTTATTCCCATTTTACAAGTAGGGAACGTTGAGGAATAGAAACTGGCTGGCTGCTTAGCTGCTGAGAATAAAAACACGGGGTTCGATGTCATTGCTCCCTAACCCGATAATACCACAAGTGTTTAGACATTTATAACCACAGAAGCCTATAGACATGGGGGACGTCCGGCCCAGATCGGGGTTTACAGGGGGCTGCTTGCCTCTCGTGATGTGTCTGTGAGGGCCCACCCCCATGTTGGAGTTGGCTTTCTCCGCTAAACCACCATATGCTTATGCAGTTGGATTTGAGAGAGTGGCATCCGCAAGAGAGCACCAGTACCCCAGTGGGAAAGGCTGCAGTCCAGGTAACTGCAATGTTAACAAGGCAGAAGCACTTAACTTTGGTCTGCCTTAGGTGGCAAAGGAAACCAGAGAAAACAAGTATCGGGGCTCTGCTACCAAGGTAAATGGCGCTACGTTCTTTCCCCATGACTCTTCCCCGCGCTCTCTCTGTAGAACCTCTGAAGTTAACACGCAGGGACAGGATGCAGGAGGGGTCTCCTAAGAACTGGGAGATAATGAATCTTACACGGTCCATAGACCTTGAAAAGCCATGGGCATCGAGACACAGACGACTTCTCTCTTCCGTGGCAGAAGGTTCATTTCCTTCCCGCCAGAAAGCCCGGCCCTCACATCTGATTGCTCAGTTTGGAGGGTTACTGTGTGGATGCCCTTTTAACTTAACTGTTGATATCAAGATCTCGTTCCCTCCCTTTTAATATCCTAGGTCTGCATTTCAGACATTCTTTTTTCCTCGCTAACTAGAAATTGTTGAGGGCTACACAAAATTTCTAAACTTGTTTTCCTGATTGTCAAAGAGATTGCATTTGGTAGTTCTTAATAAATAGTATGTGCTTGGAGGGTTAGTTTCTAATGAAATGTTCTACAATTAATCCTCATTCATCAGTATTCCTAAAAATGTAGTTCATACCTTGATTATAACACTTCACTAATTTGGACTGTTTATGTGTTTATTTCCTTCTCTTAGACAGTATCTTTCTCAGGGATGAAGCCCATCCATGCCTTACCCACCTTCTGCTCCTTGGTCCCTAATATTCAGTAAATACGGACTGAGTGGGCAAGCTGACATTGGTTCTGAATGATCGTTTCATCTCATTTAGAGTGACCAGTTTGTCAGGAACTCTAACTGCCTTAACCTTTGTAATCATTGATAGTATTTTCTCCTTATCTTCCTCCTGTAGATTTTTAACACGATTAAAAAGAATTGTAGAGAATTAGATGATAGTTGCAGTAGAAATCAATGTTTCTTTCAAAATCTCCCTTTTCTAGGTGCAAAGTCCTTCTTGGATGCAACCTCAACCATACATCCTACAGCATCCTGTAAGTTTCTCAAGTCAATGACTTTATGTCCTCTATGGAAGCTATGTGTGTAACCTGTTGAGTTAAAACTCCTCTACCAAAGATGGGGGAGCGGGGTGGAAACACTCAAACACAGAATATGACAATGTACCCGCTTATTATGAAGCTTGAAGTTACCTTTGTTTTAAAATGCATTATTGGTAGACATTAATTTTTATGTAAGAACTTAATATACATCCTGTTTGAGGCAAGGTATTCTTTTTCTACTCACGCCAGTTCGGGAGGATTCCATTAGTTGAGTAACTAAATATTTTGCAATGCGTGGAAAGAAACGGCTCTTCCCTGTTGCATTCTTTGTGATTTAGACAGGAAGTTCAGATCCAGGCAGGGCTTTTCATCAGTGTCAGGACGAAGACAGCAGTGCATTCCTCGTACATAACTAGTATGATTTCTTCATCAATTTCAACATTCCTTATCCTAGTGTGTTATTTTAAAATGTACTTGATGTTTTTATACAGTGTATGTCTACACAAAATCCAGTTTGTTGAATGTTAAACATAGAGTCAAAAAGTTAAAAACAAACTCTCAGGTCAGACTGAGAATACCCATGATGACCCACGCACTTACACACAAAAGGGCCACAGATTGGCCCCTTCGTTTCTAGTTACCAGTGCAAATTAGGCATTCTCATATGCAAGATACATCACAACGTTTATAATACAAAAACCAGATCATTTGATTAGGAAAAAAAACTCAACTCTTGACCTTAAAAATGAGACAGGGATTTCTCTCACGATTCTTCAACAGTGGACACGGCAGGCAGTGTGAGACCATGTGGGTAGAGTAGCAATCGGGAGCACATGATGGACAGGAAATGCTGACACAACCATTCAGATGCAAATAAACTGTGTCTTGTACCTGTTGTCATACACACACACACACACACACACACACACACACACACACACACACACACACACACACACACACACACACACACACACACACACACACACACACACACACACACACGTCCAGAAGTCCACACATCCTACATTCGTGTTCATGACACCCATCCACACATTCCCACGGCAGTCTGTGTCCCAATACTTGATCTATTTGGAAAGTTAGAAGTCAGTGCACTCTTAGCTTGAGGACCCCTTAGTGCTTTGGCGATACCTGTGGATGAGGAAGAAAGGCCAGGAAACCCCTTCCCCATAGTCTAGACTTCGAATCATTTTTGTCATTCTGTGCTTTTTGATGATGAATCTAAAAAATGAAATGTATCCTCTTTTTTTTTCTTTTTGGTGAATTTAGATGCAAGTACTGTATATATTTTAATTTCCCTCTTTGGGGAGACCTGTGTTACTATTATCCACCCAGATTCAAACTGTATGAAACACCTGCTCGTGCCCTGGACTGGTATCTGATTCTCGGTAAACACCAGTGTGTTTCAGGGCAATCGGCTGCAGTCATCCCCAAACCCGTGTTCATGTTTGTGGAGTAGAACAGAATCCTAGCATGCTATAACAATTAGGTGATTGCAGAGATGGGAAGAACGGTAAAAATCCATTGATGATGTAGAGAAGTTCAGACAGATGTCCAAACAATTCAGTTTTGGTTGCTACATAGTCAGGAAAGCTTGCTCTAGCCATTACAGTTGATGGCAGCAAGGGCAGTTACCATTTCTAGTAGAAAGCTAAGTTAAAATCAAGAGCCCACAGTAGGAAATTGTTCATGTTCTCTGATGCAGAATCTAGCTCTCAGTTAGATGCTAATGCTGGTTCTGTTAGAGATATCACAGGAGTGGGTTTTTCTTTTCTTTTCTCTGTTTTCTTACATACATTGAATTGATTTTTTTGATGGCAAAAAATTTCCAAGCAAAATAAGTGACCATGGAACTGGAGTGGAATTACTAAGATTGGTTTCCCAGACACGGGGCAGGAAGTTCCGAAAAATACCCAGAAATGAAGAACGTACTCTTGGCCCTACCTGCTTCATCTTGAACCAGATGACTCTCTGTAAAACATGTTTAAACAAGCTGCTGTGCTGATCACGTTTTTGTTGTTGTTTGGGGGGGGGGGGTGTGGCTATAGAAAACAAAAGTTACTTCTCCCCCCCCACACCCAACATCTGGCAGCCATGGCAATATTTGTTTGCCATAGTCAAACAAGTTTGCTCAGTTTGTTTCATGTTACAGCCCTTCTGCTGGCCTGCCTGGCTTTACAGTTAGGTCAAGCTGGACACAAGGATCTCAGTGGGGTGAAATAGCACGGCCATTTCCTCTCAACTCTTTATGAAAGTTTCGGGAAAGCAGTGTGGGAGATTTGGGGGTCGTCGTTGGGGATACCTCTTGTAAGTTTGAGGGAGGTCATGTTTGCCTCAGCAAAGAGTTTTCCTTTGCAGATTGGAACTATAGAATCTTACTTCTCTCTCAGTCTGTCTTTTGTCGCTCTTTTCTCCCCTTCTCAGGGTGCCGTGTTAACTCCCTCAATGGAACACACCATGTCACTACAGCCCGCCTCCATGATCAGCCCTCTGGCCCAGCAAATGAGTCATCTGTCGCTAGGCAGCACCGGAACAGTAGGTGGCAAATTAATATCCTGGGTTTTCGCAAACAGAGGAAAGTGAATTATGGAAACCCGTGTCTTCCCTAATGAGAGTATAGGTTGAGGGGGGGGTGGTAGCAAAGATTGTGTCCGGCCCTCTCCCTATCTGGCACTGCCTTCCACAAAGTCAGCTAGGACTCAGAAAATTCTTGATTAGTTGATGACCTGGATATATCTCCCTCACACACGCAGCGCCCACACATGCCCCTGTGTAGCTTTTATAACCCATGTTACAAGCGGCAGGTCACCGAGGAAAAGATGCGCAGGTCACAAAGGACAGGCAGCGTCTCCGCGGCGTTTGCTGTTCTTTCCTGCGGTGTTCCAGCACCGCGTTGTGGTTTTCGTAGTGGCTTGTTTTCCTACACTCCAAGGGACTGGCGGGGTTAGGAGGCTGGGTTAGTACGAGGCCACGTGTAAAGATGGACAAAGGCATCCAGCTCAGCCTGTGTTTGTGGGGGCGGCAGAGGGCAGAGGGCGGCGTGTTTCCCCTCTTATTCTGAAAACCAGCAACAGCTTCTTGGGAAAAGTGAATCCAGGACAATACACAGCCTAGAAATCGGCTGCAGATTCCACCTGCCTTTGGGACATGAGACTGCTGAAATAGACAGAGGAGGGCCGCAGGACCGGTTAAGGGTCCCTTCGGGTCTCTCCCCACACAAATAGTATGAGGCATCACCTCGGGGGATAACCAGAAAATAACGTGGCCTCTGGAGGAGAGATTTGTATGATGATTTGGAATTGCTGCAGATGAGATACCTTAATGACCTTCACACGGGCACATTTTTTTGTTGGTAAAAATTCAAAGAAACACAGCGTTTTCAGTTTGACCTTCCAAATGACACATTCATAGGCAGTCATTAAGCTTTGAGGGGAACCCATATAAGTTTTTTCTTTGAGTCGTCTAAGTAGCCATCTCCTACCCCAACCCCTCCCCCCCAACCCAGTAATCTGAATTTTGCATGGCTTGCTGCTGCATACCCTGATCACCTTCTCCTTTTCAGTACATGCCTGCCACGTCAGCCATGCAAGGAGCCTACTTGCCACAGTATACACACATGCAGACAGCAGCGGTTCCCGTTGAGGTTGGTATAGAGCATCCCAGTGGTCACTGTGGCAGTGGTTGGTGTAGAGCATCCCAGTGGTCACTGTGGAAGTGGTTGGTGAAGAGCATCCCAGTGGTCATGGTGGCAGTGGGTTGTTTGCCATCTGAGTCATTGAAATAGAGTAACAACAAAAATCTATCAACTGTCAAATATTTTCTCAAGGCATAGCATAGTAGCACATGCCTGTTATCCTAGCAACCAGAGAGGCTGAGGCAAGAGGATCCATGAGTTCAGGCCAGCTTAGACTATGTAACCAAAGAAATGGTTCAGAAAGAGTGTGCACTTAGCATTTTTCAACTGTAAAACACACTCTATGCAAATTAGTATAGCAACATCCAGATACATTGTATCCCCAGACCCCCCCCCCCAAATAACTTTGCAATCTTGTAGCGCATTTCATAGTACTTTAAGGCTCTGTCTTGTTACCCCAAAAGATTTTACTCACAGGCGCATTAAGATAAAATTGGGGTTTGCGATTCTAGTTCTAAAGATTGAATCAGTGGTAATAGTTATTATAGAAAGAAACGGGTCATAATTCAGATGATGGAAAAAGAAAAACTGGTATTCCTAAGTTGCAACAAGCGTGAGGAACAACCCTCCCTGATTTTACAGCCAACTACTCTTGGTTAGTATCTTAGAATATATTGCATCTGTAGAAGTCTGACATCTGAATTACGAGTGGACAGGAAGCATAGTGTTTTCCTGCAGTGTCCTCAAGGATCAAGGAAGTTGATCGGTCCACTCGCCTTACCCACTCGGCAGATCCCAAAGTTCTTGGGAACTGTGGTTGTCGTATTTGCATGATCGTACAACTTTGAACAGCCACAACTGCCTGAACCCACAGGATTTTGTGTGCAGTTCTCCAGGACATGAAACCTTTAGAACAATGAAAAACAAACATTTTCTCTGTAGCTACTTCAGCAAAGTCTGACCTGTGCTTTTTCAAGCATAATTTGAGCTGAGCCAAGACAAAAATCTCCAAAGTACTTTTTGTTTTATTCCTGTTTTACTCTCACTTTAGTGGAGGTTCCACCAGGGCCTGTCACATGAGCTATGTCCATGTCCCTTCTAAAATCATGACCTCGCTCTGGAAGCCAGGCAGGCTGTGAACTTGCAGCCCTTTTGTCCTGCCTCTCATGTAGCTGAAGTTACAGTCCCTGCTTCCATTTACTGAGTTGATTCACACTTTTCAGCATATAAGTATTGGGAAGTTTGATTGTGAGGTGCAGGTGATGCCTTTGGGCAGCAGTTGGTGGGGGGAATATGACACGCAACATTTGCACACTGTGACTCAGACTCTAAAGTCTGAAAATACTGAATTATAAACTATATCTGGCTTCAAGGAGACGAAGCCAAGAAATTTCTTTGATCAATATTTAAGTTAAACATTTGAACGGGAGGTTCTTGGGGTCTGTCATATTTCAGCTGCATTAGGGCAGTGATTAGCCTTAAAAGCTCTGTTTGACTTGAAGAAATTCACTTTGAAGAGTGTCTGTATTAAGGTGTGTGTCCTTGGACTCAGGCCTTAGCAGCAGAGTTACAATTTCATTGCTAATGTGTCTCATGCATTCTGCTTTGTTGTAGGAAGCAAGTGGCCAGCAGCAGGTGGCTGTGGAGACATCTAATGACCATTCTCCATATACCTTTCAACCCAATAAGTAACTGTGAGGTATGAGGGAAAAGTCTCCCTAACTGCAGGACTCATATGAAGCAGTGTGGGGTACTTTTATCAAATGATGCTTAGACTAAGTTAGATTTAATGTGTTTATGAATTTACAGATTCTGTCTAGATAAGGAACAACGTTTTATATTAAAATCAAATATATATTTCCTCTACCCCAAAGTCATAAAATATAAAGCATCATAGAACATTGATTTCCAAAGCTGTCCTATATATAATAGAAGCATCCTATTTATATTGCTTAAATACTAAGGAGATACAGCTTAAGATGTTGCTTAATCAAGTCTCACAAGGTCAGTAGCATCTTGACTATGAATTGAGATTGTTGGCATCCTCAGAACAAAAGATTATCTTCCCAGCTCTCACTGGAGTCACAAATTTCAAACTTCACCCCACCACGTGTATTTTAGTAAAATAACTCTTACGTGGAATCCAGTTTCTGGATTGTCTTGTAACAATGTGTGTTGTTGATCTCAAATCACCCTTCATTTGAGACCCATGTGGAGCTGGCTCTGGCTGCCTGAGGGAAGAAAGTACCCTGCAAGTCCCAGATTTGAAAGGCGGACTCAAGGAACTGAAAGTGACCCTCAGATCCCCAGCTCATGTCCTTCAGTCTCACCGTGGATGGGCACAATCTTGTTCAGGCGTTTATCTCTCTAAAGCAAAAGCTGACAAGCCCTGCGTGGTGTGTTTGTTAAATCAGCAGAGACTGAGTTAGTCTCCTCTCTTTCTCTTCCAGATGGACCAAAGGGTGTTCTTACATGAAGAAGGGTGTGAAGGCTGAACAATCATGGATTTTTCTGATCAATTGTGCTTTAGGAAATTATTGACAGTTTTGCACAGGTTCTTGAAAACGTTATTTATAATGAAATCAACTAAAACTATTTTTGCTATAAGTTCTATAAGGTGCATAAAACCCTTAAATTCATCTAGTAGCTGTTCCCCTGAACAGGTTTATTTTAGTAAAAAACAAAAACAAAAACAAAAAAAAACACAAAAAAAAAAACAAAGATTTTTATCAAATATAATGATGCAAAAAAGAAAAAAAAAAAGGAGAGAAAAAGAAAACTTCAATTTTCTGGGTATGCACAAAGACCACGAAGACTTATCCAAGTGCATGACCGGATTTTTGCGGTTTTGTTCCTTTTGTGTTTGATGCGTCTTTTTTTTTTCCAGCTGTATGAAATGGGCTTTTCTGATGAAATTCCCACCGTCTGACGTCACCCATGGTGTCTGTGCTTGCCGTGAGAGTGCCGCTGTAAGCCAGTGTGGCCACCCTCGGTGTCTTTTCTTAGCTTTTCATTTTTCTTTCGACGTAGTGTGAAGTGTCTTATCCTTTTCTATGAATTCCAATTTGCCTTAACTCTTTTGATGCTGTAGCTGTTTCAGTAAAGTTAGTTCAAACTAATGATGTAGAATGCTTTGACCAAATGGGCTGGTCTAGGACGCCTTGTAAAAAAAACAGCAGCGTAGGGGCTTTTAAAAAGGTAGTCAATAAAAGTTGCTGAAATTTTGGCTTTTTTAAAATATGTAGTAGGTGTTTTTAATGATTTTTTTTTCCACATAACGTGTAAGGTAGTGAAGTGCAAGAAGGGAGAACTGTTTTGTGTGAAACACATTTTCTGACTGGGGGACTTTTAATAGGGTGAATCGTTTGTAAGGCCGTACACCGACAGTTTCCTCTGATAGTTTGACCAATTTAGGATATCTGCTGTATGATGCAATGTAAAGTCTTTTTTGCCTTTTTTTCAGGAAAAAAACAAAAAAACAAAAACAAAAAACTTAATGATGTTCTAGATTTAGTGTAGGTAGCTTTGGGGCTGGGGGTGGGGGTGGGGGAGGGGAGTCACCGAATGTTTTGTCCTTTATACTAACGATAGTGCTTTAGAATGAGAACCATGCCTGTGATCTGGCAAACTGAGGGGGGGAAAAATGTCGCTATTGAAACTAAATGGTAAAAGCTAAAAGTAAGGATTTCTCTTCAAACCTGAGCTGAGATATGAACAGAAGAAAAAACGACTGGCTACTAGCTCTCTCTCGTGTGCGCTTGCTCACTAGCTCGCTCGCTCGCTCTCTCTGAGGTCGATTTGAAAAACTAAAAAATGACTTGGCACTTTTAAAGGTAACTTCACCAAAGACCGAAGAGCCAGTAGCCAGTAACTCCACCTTGTCTCAGCATCCCATTTTCTCTGCTCTTTATTTTTGCCGGACCAGTTTGCGGTTAGGAGAATGTGCCTTTTTTGTACCTTTGCATTAGGTTTTATAATTTTAACTGATGTATGGACTCACAGAGACAAATTTAAAAAACAAAAAAAAAAGCATGAAGGAAGATTTGAATCCAAGCAGTGCCACACTTTAAGTCATCACTACAGGTGTTCAAGTGTAAAGAAAACCAACTTTGAAACTATGAAATTCCTGATTCATAAATACAGTTATTTCTACTTTAGTACATATGAGATAATTCATTGTTATTAATGCTCTTTTATTAAGGCAATTGCATACGTTTTAAAAGCAATGGTAAATTAAGTTGTCTTCCAAAACTGTGTACTTGTCTGGTCAGCTACGTTTGATCAGTTATCTACCTCAGAGGCTTTTTCTTTTGTGCTGGGACAGGTTGCTGGCCCTCCCTGTTTCCACCGACCAAATCCTCCTAGCTCGGGAGCTAGGGCTAAGCAGTTACTTCTTTTGAGTATTTTTTAGTTCTTAAATTTTATTGCTTGTATTTGATGATAGATGTCAGTGACATTTCATAGTTTCAAACGTCCTTGCTGCTCTGAGAAGTGTAGATTCTAGTGAAAATTACATAGTCATAAGAGAAATGTGTTTTCGTTTTTGTTCTTGTTTCTTTCTTTTTTTTTTTTTAAAAGAAGTTGTGGTATTATTGGTTCTATGCTCCCTAAAACATTCTGCTTTATGGAAGTCCAGACTGAATGCAGCACCCTCCGTATACCTAGTATGTTTATCAGCCCGGGGCTCTCACTACTTGATATTTTTTCCATTAGTTAAGACAGGAAGACGGTAGCTCAGTCGGTAGGGGAGGGGAAATCTGCTGCTAGGTATGTCTGAACTAAGTGCCATACTCGTCTGGGTCAGATTTGGGAAACAACCTCTGTACATATTAAAAAAAAAAAAGTCAGTTAAACATCACATAGTAGACAGCCATTAAATTATAAAAAAAAAATTAATTTATGAAGAAAGACCTTTTGTACAGATTGAAAAAACAGATTTTCATAGAGATATCTATATGATCAAGAGAGTTAATTTTTTATTTTTGTTCCTACTAGTGCTCCATACTTGCCAGCAGTGACTTTATTGACCGGCTCCAGATGACTCTGTAGTTTTCTTTCCTAGGACTTGTTAAACGCCAAAAGACATTTTTGAACTGTACATTTGATCAGATTGTTAGCTTTTTCTGTTTTATTTCTTTTGAGAACCTTTGAATAAAAACATCTGAAACGTTCCTCTTCCTGTCGGTTTACTGCAGTCGGTGAAGCCCACATCAGAATCCCGTTTCTCTTCTGCCTCACTCTTCAGCTCAGGACATTGGTTCAGAAGTAACCTGAAAATTATGTCAGATTCCCTATGTCCTGAAAATGCCTCTTCCTGCAAGGGACTGAGAAACCTTCCCACCTCCTTGTTACCATTGTTTAAATCTGTGCTGTGACCTTAGAGGTCACATCTGACCTTGTCATAAGTCCAGCCCCAAATACCCCACTCTTGGTCTGTTTAGGTTTTTTTGTTGTTGTTGTTGTTGTTGTTTTGGTTGTTTTATGGTATTGGCAACAACCCTGGGCCTCTGACATCCTAGGCAGCTGCGCTTGCAATGAACTATATCCTCAGCCCTAGATAAGACTGAAAAATCAGATCCCCTTCCTTACAGCTGCCCATTGTTAGAACAAAATAGACATTTTCTTATCTGCAGCCAACACCAACACGCCAAAATGATCTCACCCCATTAAACCACAGCCTTTAAAAAGTGGCCTCGTGTTACTGTTCCCAATAGGAGGCAGCCATGCAGCATTCATGGGGTGGGGGTGGGGGTCTTTTTTTCCCCTCCCTGACTTGCTTTGTTGGAGGCACGTACTACAGAAAATTGGCTCCTGCCCACAGTGGAGTGAATGTCTGGACGGAGTTTGTGTAGTATTGCCTGTCCATGGCTCGACCACAGTAGTTAAGGAGGGAATGAGAAGTTCCACTGCAGTTCTATAGGCGTTTATGTATTTATCGTGTGTCTGTTTGGTTGAAGGCTGTTCATGTGCCACAGCGCGCACGAGGCGGTCAGAGGACAACTTGTGTAAGTTGTCTCTCTCTACCATGTGATCTCTGGCCAGTTCCCAGTCACGAGGCTCTGCTACAAGCACATTACTCACGGCGCCACATCGAGTGAGTGGGCCCTCACTCCATTTCAGAATGATTCCTGCAAGTCCCTGGAGCCCAGTGTGAATCAGATAAGAGACAGTGAGATCCCTTGCCCGCCACAGCTGAGAAAACCCTAGTGCTTGGTGGCTCCTTGAGGAGAAGAAGCATGTCCCCTTGATGCTGACCGGTGCCTCAAAGACAAAGATGCCATAGCATAGGAAAAGCATGGCCTCAGACAAAAAGGGCATCTCAGAATGTAAACTATAGACTCTGCCATGCGTGCCAACCAGACACTTAAGTGTCCTTCCCAAGGAATAATGGCAGAGGTCAGAGGAAACACTCAGGTGCCTGGCGCCTGGGGCTTGGTTAACCTTTCCTTTGTTCTAGTGTTTGTCTCCAGTTCCATGGGTACCACCTGATGACATTAAACAGTCATCCCTTGATATCTGCAGGGCACGGATTCTAGGACTCCACAGATGCCAACGTATAGTATTTGCATACATCTGCCCTATTGTTAGAGTCGTCACGAGATCTTGTATGATGCCCTAATGCAACATAATGCTGACAGTTATTATAATGTAATGTTCAGAATGACAGGAAGATCATGCATGTGCAATGCAAAGGTTTGTTGTTTTTTTTTCCCCAAATATTTTCCATCAAAGACTGGTTAATTCGACTCATGCAGAATGCATGGATGCAGGGGCTAGCCACAGAAGTTCCTGAAAGCTCTTCTATGTAAATGGAACTTGACCTAACGACATATTGGCTCAGTAAACAGAAGGGGCAGCACTTTGAGGATAAACCAAACTTTGCTGAAAGGTTCATTGGTTCAACATTACCTTTTAGGCTGAGAAGTGGGAAGGTTCGAACTGTGAATTGGAAGAAGGGAAAGGAAAGATACAGCAGTTGCTCTCTGGTATGTGATTGTTGCCTTTGGTAGCTTGGGGACTGCTGGAATCCCAGTCACCCCAGCATCCATGCCCTTCATGAATAGTGGCACTCTATGTCCAATGGAATGTGAATACTATAATTCTACATCTTGAATTACATGCAGTAACAATGGGAGAAAGGTGATGCTCCCTAACCTGTCGGGCTGTTTAAATGCTGACACCCATCAGGTAGTAGCCTCTCCCCAACAGCTTGGCCAAAAGAGGAGAGATCTAGTAACATTGTTACAAAGATCATTCGCCTGTCACATTCTCTCTCCCTTTCCACAAAAAGCTTAGGATGTCCAGTAGCTAGAGGAGGGCAGAGGACTCAGAACTTGGATTTGAGGAAAGCCAGGCAGTTTCTTCCCCTCAAATAGCAAAGCAATAAGATAAGCATCCTGAGCCATGGCTGGGTACAGGCTAGTGATCATGTGCTCTATGGCTGTGGGTGTGTTACTGGTCAGGATCTGGGATCAGCTGGGGTCACACTGGCCCAGCTGGGAGGTGTTGCATGCATAGCCTTCAGGGGGGATCAGCTGCTCAGCAGTGGAATTTCAGTCCAAGTCAGGCTCCAGAGTGTCTCAGGCACTCAAGCTTGATCTCTGTAGGGTAAGATCATGTTTGAGCTGGAGCCACTAGAGGGAGGATTTTATTACTCACCCTTAGAGAACGAGCCCAGAACGAGACCAGATACAGCTAGTGCAAATTGCAAGGCCAACTACCAGTGAGTGTTGAATGCCTCAAAGCACATACCGCTAGGGCCTGAATTTGGGCTTCACTGTAAGGGTCTAAGCATGAGTTTATCAGCCTTGGAGATGGGGACAAGAACATACATTGTGAGCTTTGTGCTTAGACTGCAGAGTGACTTCGGTGGGACTTCTAAGGCTCAAGGACACCAAGGGACAGAAGAGGAAGCCACCAGCCTGGCCAAACCACATGGCTGGGCATAAGAGTACCAGCAAGTCTCTCGAAGCTGCTCAGAATTAAAAGGAGGTGGTGGTGCCTTAAACACAAACTCAAAGGTGAAGATTTGATTTGGGGTATTCCATTATTTATACAGACACAGATCATGTAGGAGAACAAGCATTCCCCCACACACCCTCTGGTACCCTGAAAGCTATTCCCCTACTTGAACACTTATTAATGCTTCCCCACACCTCACAGAGTATCTCTTGATAATAACCCTCAAACCTGTTTGCCAAGTTAAAACGGTTGCCATTTCACCTCCCAGTGTTGGTTCGGCCAACTGGAATAAGCCAGAATTCCACTCCAAAAGTCAGTCAGTCGTTCTGACGTGTGCAACTGGCGCTCAACAGCGCAGTCCTCCTCTGGGTTGGACATTGCCTCTCAGCATAATGTCTTCCCCTCACTGCTGGCTGTACACCCAACACCACCAGCTCACCTTCCACGTGTGCCTCACCTGACAGCGCTCACTGGACCACAAGGAGTGGCCTCAGGCGTTACCCATCTCCCTTGCCTGCTCAATCTTCAGACACATGACAGTTTCCCTCCTGACTTCCCGGGGGACATAGTAGAGTCTTAAAATTTGCAGCTCATAGAAATCTGTGTTGCTCTGGTTATTTTGTTTAATATCAATAGTTAATTATGATTAAAAACATGCAAGGGAGTACTGTGAAGTCATTGAAGACTTCATTGAAGAGAACTTGGATGACAGGAAACGTGCTCATGCCAAAGTGTTAAGTACAGAATTATAGATACTGTTATGATCCGAAGTATGAAACATTTAAGTATGAAAGCTTAGGAGAAAGTATTTTGGAGTGCTGAGCAGTGGGTGAGGACATTATGGAAAGGGTTGTGGAACTTTTTGATATATTTCTGAATTTAAAAAAATACATCATTTATTTTATAAGCAAAAAGTTCTGAAGATACTTTCAGATCATTTTGAAACTATGCAAGTCATTGGGCTCCTAATATTGCAACTGCCCCAGGGCTGGAGAGATGGCCCAGTGGTTAAGAACGTAGCAACTCTCCCAGAGGATCCAACTTTGGTTCCCAGTACCTAGGTCAGGTGCGGGGTGTTTACCCACCAACCCCACAGCTCCCCAGAGTTTTCTTGAGTGCGAGCAGCAGGAAATATTACACAGAAGGATTTAGATTGTGGAGATAAACAGACAGAAAATAAAGGATAGCCTAGAGAGGGCCTGGAACCTATTCCAACAGGCCCTGACTGTCTCTGCCTCAGGTATTTATAGAGATGCCAAGGGGTGGAGCAAAAGACCTCCCCCCAGCTCAGCCAAGTGCAGACCATCTCAGACACCTGCACTCAGGCCCGTGGTCCTAATCATCCTCTCTATGTGGACCTGCTGGGTAAAGCCATGAGGGGCCTGAAAACGGATTCCCACAGTCGGGCGTCTCCTAACAACCTGTTACTCCAGATCCAGGAGATTTGACGCCCTCTTTCAGCCTCTGCAGGCACCAGAACAGACACATAAAAATAAAAAATAAAGTTCAGCTACTGTACAACACATTGGAAGGCAAGACAACATGATCTGGTCCTAGACCTGAAGGAACAGTTGAGGAGAAATGTAAGTTTGTTGTCTTGAAATGGCAATGTCACAAGACGTAACAAAAGCAAGAGCTAGGTAAGTGTGGGAGCTCTGAGGGACTAAGAGCATGTCAGCAGTCCTCCTGAGAGGCCCTTCTACACCAGCCCATTTCTCGTCACTGATCAGAACGACCCCAGGGCGCTCACTGCTTCCGAGGCCTGTGACAGGGCCAAGCAAAGAGTTCGGTAGCTCTCCTCTTGCCAAAATGAGACTTGGAGCAAACGTCCAGAGAGTTGGCATGTCTTTGCCACTTCTGCTCTGAAGATACCAATGTAACAAGAAGGCAGTCTGTTGTCTTCTGGTTTTGTATTTAATCAAACAGAATATGGGATACTTTGCACACAGCGTTCTGACTTTTAACCGGCAATCATTCGCCCTCCTCCCCCATTGCTAGACTGTGGATCAGCAAGTATTTGTGATGGTGCTCGGATGCCTGCTTACTGAATAGGCTATTTCTTAAGGGGCGTGGCAAAGAACTGTTCACTGCATGTGACTCTAGGAGACTGTAGGTTCATAGCAGTGTGCTGAGTTATAAGTGCCAGCCAAAGGCTCTTGGGCCATGTGCTCCACCCCTCAGAGCCCATTGCACTCACCTGGAAGGACAA